TAATAGCCAAGGATGAGAGTAAAGCAAGAATGAGAATGAGCGACATTAGTCAATTATTATTCGTCACTCAGCAAAGTTGAATTTAAGTGAACAGCGAAATGTAATTTCATGAAACAGATATGTACGAGGCTCGCACGTTCTAGAAATGAAGGGGAGATAACGCGCAATTTTCTAATTGGAGCAGAAATAATCTTCTAATATTGTATATATTTTCTGTAACTAGTGTTCAATTACGGTACGCATATTTCAAGTGTCTGCAAAATGACGTAACAAGATTTTTAAAAGCACAAATATTAAAATAAAATAATGTATATCTACTTGCTTGATGCGATTTTTATTTCTTCGCGTACCAAAATTATTGACAAATTTAATGCGAGCATATTTTCTTTATCATTGCAACAATAAGTTGTAAAGTTAAATCGCAGCAAAATTCGAAAAAACAATTTTTCTCTCGTACTAATTAAATCCTGTAATAAAAAATGTATATTCAAACACATCCAAATCTCTTTTATTCTAAATAAAATCTTTATAGCTTAAAATTTTATTCAAACAAGAAGTTATAAATTTTTTCCAAAGTATTCAGATATATTTTTTTAATAAATTTGAAACTATTATTTTACTTCCTTGATGTTAGATATACGAAAAGAAAATAGTTTGTTAAATATCATCAAATATTTAAGTTGCAAAATAAACTTTTGAAATTTTTAAATAAATACTTTTTATAATTTTATTAACAATAAGGGAAGTTAGAAATTCACATCAACTTGGAGTCAGCGACCTTCAAATACGAAAAGAACGAGACGCGTTACCGTTAGATTCATTTAAATTGCGTGACATTTTTTATGACTAGTTTAATTTACGGGACAGTCGTGGATAAGGTCATTTTTGTTAACACATCAGGTAGAAAAGAAATCGTACAGGTGACGCATTAGCTCCTTCGACCTTGCTCCAAAAACATTTTCGCACCCTCGCTTGAAATATATACTTTTGTATGCTCGTCACGCTTCTTTAATTGGTCAAGATGCCGTTATACTTGGAGAAAAACAAAGATCTCAATATTTTTTTATGGTTAAAGTTATTCAACAATATGGTAAATTTGATTCCACCTTAAAAGATAGTGTAAATTTATAATGTGAAAAGATAAATGTTTCTACAAATTATATACCAATACTTGATTTATCAATTTAAATCACTTAAGGATGTAATTGATTTTTTATTACAATATTTAATGTTATAAAAATTTATATTTCTTTGTACAGGCAAAACTAGATGTTGTAATCAGAGCATATGTAAGTTCGTGAATGTATTCAAAGGTAATACAAAATATATATACTTCATTTTTCACAATCTTCATACGAGTTATGTGCGTGCCGCTATCCGACGGTAACCATGGTGTAGGTAATATGAAATTCTACATGAAAGTTTCTGTTAAATTCAATATATTAATAAATTCTAATTGATCTTTTGTTAATTTATTTTCGCGCGCGGCAACTAAAAAATTGATTTAGCTTTTATTAAGTTATATATCATTTTATTTATATATTATTTTATTTGTATAGTTTTGAATATAGTATCACATAAACTGTACAAATACTGATAAAATTAAATAAATACGAATACAAATACCGTGATTTGCAATATTACATATAACATAAAATATCTATTGATAGTATATAAATAATGTAACTTAGCAAATAATATAACTTAATTAAAACGAAGTGCAAAGTTTGAAGAAATCTTGAGAGAAATCAGTTTTCTAATATTTAACAATAAAGAAAATAAAATATCGGGCAATTGAGAACACTTAATAATGCGGTAATTTGTGCGTAATAATAAAGTTATGTATTATATTTGAAGATCTTACATGGTGATTGTAATACAATCGAACGTTTCGACTCCATTCGAGCCATCTTCAGCGATGTTAGTATAAACAAATTCAAAATAAGAATTTTGTACTTTATTGTATTCTAATATTTATATATATGTATATATATTTAGTTATATAAAAATAAATCTTTCAGATTATTAAAATTGTTAATAAGTTATCTCAATTGGTTTAATGAATATATAATTTTATAAAAGTTAATATATGAAATTCTGAATATAATATAATACAATTTGTAACAGAAGAACTATATTCTTCTTCGCATCGAATTAGTAATATAGGGATGTTTATTATTTTACCACATTAAATTAACTCATATAACAATTTTAAATATATTGCAAATGATGACAAGAAAACCCATTTTCAATCTTGACATACATAAATTGTTTTATAATACATATTTATTACTTCGGCTTTCTATCATCTCTAGACAGACTATATTTTTTAATAAAAAACAGGGGAAACATCGATTTAAAGCGACTTCTGCTCAACTACGAATTACAGATAAGATACTTGGCCATGCACCGTTCTTTTTTTCGAGGATGATTCAAGACCTGACAGACCCTTTTATCATCTAAGGTTTGTTAAGTTTTGGGCGACACTTATCTTCAGGCCGCGGGCACTCGACCGGCACTTTGGGGGTTGCGAAACCGAGAAAGGGCGCAAATCGCGGACCAACGAGTAGAGACACGACAAAAGGGGGTTTCTTCGGTCAAAGAAGGAGGTTCGCTAAGGTGTCGCGCAGTTAGAAGAGGGATGGAAGACCCAGGGGCGGGCAAGAACGCAAGAGGGCAAGAGGCATCGGATGACATCGCGACGCCCGAGGCTCCCTGAGCAAGTTCTCGAAAGTGTCGGCTAAACTGATATGAGAAATGGTCGCTTCGTGCTGCCCGTAGGGGATGAAGCAGCCCGGCTATACTTATTCGTTATACGGTCGGGAAACGCTCAAGCACCTCAAGTATTCGTAAATCCCTTCATCCGATACAAGGACAAGCGATATGCAACTCTACATATTTCCGTTCAAGAAGAATCGCCATTTAGTGAATTCCAAATATTCTATGTTTACGCTATTTTAAATATTATTATTATTAAATATTAGAAAATACAACCAACGCATTACTTAAACATTAACATCATAAATATTATAAATATTATTTTTCTAAATACAGTTTAGAAATTGACTAAATCAAACAATATTTTAGATACAAAATATTTTTTATCGATTCATGCGACAAACATAATTTTAGAATTAAAAATAAAACCGACAAAAAGAATTAAGATACAATCCCTCATTTATCTACAATTGAAAAATAAAAAAAAATTTTATTTATACCAATTTTACGTGACATTAAAAGCCTTATACCTAGTATTTCATCTATTTAAACTTTATTTTGAATAGACTGTGTTGCAAGTATACATTCCATACGCATTTTAAATTGAAGTCATTTGAATCAGCAAAAATTTTAAAAATTAAAAACACGATGTAAGTGGATAAATACCATTCAACAGCAAAAACATAAGAAAAATTGATTCATGATATTATTACATTATTTTTAATATTGACAAAGTCCATTATACATCTGTTGACGTTCATAAATTTCTCAATGTTCATTGGGTGATTCAACATAAAGGTTTAATATATCCAACTGAACTTCAGTTTGATAACTTTCTGTAACTTTCTGGGGTGTTGCATAGATAGGCTTGGTAAGAGGAAGATGACGCACGAGAAAGTCTAAAGGATTGCACTGGTGGGGGTAAAGGAACGCTTATCACCGCCTGCAGCCGCGCCGACCGTCGGATCCTTATTTATGGTCTCCGTCAGGCGTCGGTGCGCTGTACACTATACCTATTTTACCCTCAGGTTCCTCGATACTGAACTCACTTTATTTTTGGACAGATAGCTCCCAGTTCCTTTGGAAAATTGAAAACGTCTACTAACAAGTACAGTCAATAAATTGGGAAATCAAAATAATTTTTCAGAAACTATATCTTTGCGTTCTATCAAATTTAGGCAACCTAAACTTCTTTCGGTGAAGAGAAAAAAAATTTTTAATTTGTGTATAATGATTTCGTAATGTTTATACGTCGATTTAAATAAAATTCTTTAGACATATTTATGATGTAAGAAGATCAATCAAGTGAACCAATTTTAAGGATGCGCAGTCGTTCAAAGTAGTGACGACGTTCGTCATCAATCACAAATTGGCCCCAAATTTTGTAAGCCAATATAAAGCCGGTGTTAGAAATTTGCCATTGATAAGAAATTTGCCCCAAATTATATTCAACCATCATTATACGCTGGTCTTTTTACATCATGGATATTTAGTGAAAATTATACGAAAGTGATCTATTATATGAAGTGAAAATTTGTCTACACACAAATAAATCTGTTAAAACATTGTTTTCTTTGAATGAATTGCTTTTGATTATATTCCTATACTTATCTCGCAGTCATGTACTAACATGAAGTGACATACAATTCATATTCTCATTGATATGTATTACAAGTATACCATTTAAGATATAGGTATGTGTACATTTTGTTAAGAATAATAGTATGTCTTTATCTATCTATGTACGTATCTATATATCTAAGAAGGTTAACTTATTCGAATGACAAATTCTTTGCATACATGTATGTGACGTTTACGAACTGTCCACTATCAGAAAAAAAGTAAACTACGTTTATCACAGTAATCGTAAATGAATAGATTTAAACGTATTTTCTCACATGAGATACATGTTTATCAGAATGATTGATAATATGTCACGTGTCACAAGAATAAGCACATTCGTGTAATGAAATAGTACATGTAAATAAACAGTAAGTTTCTGATGTACATACATCATGCAAATATAATTCGACTTAAAATCAACGAAAAATAATCTACTAGGAGTATCCAAGAAAGAGTCGGCCTGTTATATAGCAGCTCTAACTGACTAACGGAGCATGTGCACTGCGTAAGATTTTGGCGGGAGGGCGGTCTCTATAACTTTGACAGCTTTGCCTTCTAACATGTTTATGTATCCGCGTACGTATTAACGAGTCGCGTAAACAAAACGAGACAACGCTTATTTTCGTGTGTTGATATGATTAAATAATATGATAACTTACCCGTAGCGGCTCACACGAGATCAACGATAGCGAAGTCGTCTTTGCGGAAGGGTAGTCCGCGCACGTTCCTTACAGCTCATGATAGCGCCTATTCGAGCTCGTTTCCTCTTAAATTTGTTGCTCCATCCACTTGCTGAGATTTGTGAGGTTTCCTGCGTCAGCCTTCTTTCACGTCTCCTCGCTCGTACGTTCGTTCCGTTGACGGGCGGAGTCTCGAAATCACCGCCAGAATATGATCCCGTGGTTGTCGTATCGCTGGTTACGAAACCAAATCCTCGTCCGATAGGGATCGCCCGATTGTACTCCCGGCCGAGAACCGAAAGACGGTGACGTTCTCGCACAGGATGAAAAACCGCGTTTGTCGCGGTGGATCTCATCCACCTCCTCGCGCGGAGGTTTCGCGGAGGCTTCGCCTTCGAGACTCGCCGACTCTCCGAGATCTCGGGAACGCTCTTTCACCGGCCAAAGCAAACTTGTTGGATGGCAATACGTGAGTTAAATGTTCACCGCGGATGGTTTACGGCCCGATAGTCCCCACCTCATGCCGCCACGCGGCGCTGCCTCCGTTTTCTCTCTCTCTCTTTCTGCCTCTCCTCGTGCTTTCGTCCCACTACTGCCGGCTAGAGCTCTCTCTCTCTCTCTCTCTCTCATCTCTCTCTCTCTCTCTCTCTCTCTCTCTCCTCTCCCTCTCGTACTGTCAATCTCTCTTTCTCTCTCTCTCTCTCTGTCTCTCTTTCTCCCTCCTGTCTCTCGTATTCGTGTCGTCTCTTCCGTGTGCTCCATCGTTCTGTCTTGCTCCGTTCTACGAGCCTCTGGCTCACTTCACGTTCCTACCCACACCAGGGCTGTCCTGCGGCCAGCGCAAAGGCGGGGTATTCGGACCGTGGAAGCGAGAGCGTATTAGCGCAAGAGAGAGAATTGAGTTTAGAACGAGACAGTGACATCGCAAGATACACGAAATGAACGGAGATGAGAAATCACACACACACGCGCGCGCGATTGACTCTACACGTATAAGAGGCGGATTTATATGCAAGGGCGTTGTTAATGGCGGGAGGGAGTACGGCGAAGGGTGTACGTTTGCTACCTCGTTCCTGCTTCGTTCCATCTCTATCGCGCTTCTCTTCTCTTTCTCCCTCACTTTTTCTCTTTCTCTTTCTCATTCTCTTCTCTTACATTTTAAACATTGCTTTCCTTTCACGATATATGTTATAGCTATCCTTATTTCTCGCGAACAATATTTTCATCCCTCTTCAATATCGCGCTCGCGCTCTTCAAGGATAAGTTCGATGTCTCTGTCGCGCGCGCGCACGTCCTTCCCCTCTTTCCTTTCTCTCCTTTTGATCGCTCTCTCGCGCACTCTCTCTCTCTCTCTCTCTCTCTCTCTCTCTCTCTCTCTCGCGCGCGCTCTCTCCCTCTCCACTTCTCCCTTCGCTGGTGACTTGTACACTCACAAGGATGGCCACGATGACGTAACGAAACACGTGACTATCGTTTAGCCAATAGCGGATGGCTAGTTTAAATCTCGCGGGCATCGAAGTCCCCACCTAGCGCTTCGTCTTCAGGACTGGTTATCATCGAATGTACATGCAGGATTGAGCCATTACCTGGTGCTTGGCGTTATAGGTATAATTATATAGCGTCGCGATACACATCGAGTAATGGTGATTTGTGGCCACTCCTCTCTGCACATATACATACTCGATTCTCTCTGTAACCACGTGGTAGACACGCTACATACGGAACGTTGACTGTTGCTATAGATTTTCAGACGTGACAAAGTATCGACGCGCATACTTGGGCAATATCTTAATGCATTTTGTCTTCGCTCTCTTGATTATTTATGAGCTTTCTTTTAGAACTTATAGCGATTGGATTTCAATCGTGTTATAAGTTGAAAGATGTAACAGATACACAAAAAAAAGAAGAAAAAATACAATCGGTTTCGAAACTATATTTTGCATATGTATATGTTGAAGAAAGCTGTGGCAAGAAATGCCATGAATCAGTAAACGTGATGTCTACTGAAACCTCATTCGACGCAGCTTGAATAATTTAGAAAAGTCAATTCGCACGACGTCCCATTAATTTGAATTCGTGCGAGAATAAACTCTGCGCTGTGAAATTGCGTTTCGCCATGCGGCCAATTCCGCTTCTGGCGAAATTTAAATCGAGCCCACCTAAACTCGGCACCGAATTTAGAGTTGGAAGCGCCCGGTGGACCATGCGTGCGCTGCAGTCACCGCCAGCGCATACATCATCCGATATTTATTTGTCTCTCTTCCTGAAGAATTTAAAGCGTGTGGAAGCTCCTACTTTTTTCGTCCGGCCACAGCAATGAACAGTTTTGGAGAAGATACCGTTATTATGGCGTATGACGCAACGAATGGTATCGCGCGCGACAAGTCCGATATATTGAACAATAAATAATGCCGAGACATAAAATCGATGAATTGGAACCCGGACTCCTTCGCTTCGTGTGTTTTGTTTTTGCTAGACAACATTAAATCTACAAACCCTACAAATACTCCAAACAAATAAAACAATATATTTGTAAAAAAAGAAAAGAAAAATATAAACGTGATAGCTAAGATATATTCTAGAGATTATACTATCTTCGTAAATAATATAAAGAATGTAGAGTATATACATTATATTTCGCAAGCAACTTTATATTAACGGATTTCATAAATAGTATACTATTAAAAAGTTCAATTCAAGATCATATTAAACAATTTTCATAAACTTTTTTAAATAATTAACTTGACAAACAATAAAAAATACACGTAATAGTAATTCTTTATATATTTTTTTGCAAGCTAGTGATAAGAACAATGATAAAGATAAATGTAGCTGTAGATAAACATGATTAATCTAATAAATCGCCGAGCCACGTGGCTCTAGAAACGTTTCTGAAAGTTAAGATGGAGTTAGGAAATCCGAGTACGCGCATTTGCCGTTTGACGGAATGTTATTGCGGCCATAATCGCAGGCGCCAACAGGTGCGAGCCCGGCACAAGCCTATACGTGAGTGTATGTGTAAGCATGCAATACTACGTCTGTGAGTCGGTATACCTATATTATCGCTATAGGGCAATAAAGACCCCCATCCCTATAATCTGTGGCGGAAACAATAACTAAACAGGCAGGCAAGCCAGCCAACCGGCACTGATCCAGTCATTTATAATGCTAATGGCCACAAGACTGTCAATATTTTGACATTTTACCTCTCTAAGAGACAATCTTTTCACCTTTTCTACGTTTTCCACAAGTAATTATCGTCGACCAATAGTTACAATATTTTTTAAAAAACCCCTTCAGTATAAAAAAAGTTTGAAGTTCAATTTAAAGTTATTTTAATTGTGAGAGTAAACTGTCATCTCAAAAATCCTTTAAACAAGAAAATATTGCATAAGATCAAAATTTCATTAGCATTAAAAAAATATTTGTAGGGAGAAATATTTCTTTATAATAATATTTTATGAAAAAAGAGCTTATCTTGTATGTGTAGTTGTAAATAGTATTAAGAATTACAAAATATTTGATTTAATTTATATTTTGTGTTTGTTCCATATTTTATATTTTCATGTACTATCCGCACCACGTGTGCATACATCTCATCACGCGCGCATGTCCGTACACATGTAAATCTATCTGCATTTATACATGTGATGTTACATACAGTGTATATTATTCTGGTTTCCATAGTTACGCATGCGTTTACATTACTTACTCGTTCATGAATAGACATTAGTCTATTCATGAACGAGTAAGTGTATTATATAATCAATAAGACTCTGGACCGTACATTTGAAAACTCAACAATAAGAAATAGAAGTAATGGCAATAACGGTCAAAGCTGGATCTTTAATGCTTAAATAATTCAATCTGAATTACTATATATACTATATATAATATGTACCTGCATATACTACCATATTTATAGTCATTAGAACTGCGCGCCAAATTGGTTTTTCGGACTTATAAAAGCAATTAAACAACTATATAAATACACTGTTAAATCTATAGTGTCAAATTTAACCTAACATGAGTCGCCACTGCTCCTACTAAATATGTCATTATTTTTTACCAAAATAATAGTTAAAATTTGACACTATATAATGTCAAATTGACACGATATAGTGTCAAATTTTAACTATTATTTTGGTAAAAAATAATGACATATTTAGTAGGAGCAGTGGCGACTCATGTTAGGTTAAATTTGACACTATAGATTTAACAGTGTAGTATCACGAATTAAATTGACAAGCAATTTTAATAATTTGATGCTTAATGGCACCCTATTAGAAAAATGTCAATATGCTGAAAAACTAAATAAATCTGTTGCGAAAAATATTACCTCGGCTGGGAGTCGAACTCAGATCTCTTTTTAAAAGACATTAGTCCAAAGTGTCTAAATCTAATAACTGTAGGGTAACTCCGGCAAATACGCCGCGCTGGGATTTACGCCGCAGAAGTCAGAAAAAATAGAAGGAGTGGGGGTAATTTTCCCGTAATTACTCTGTTACATGCCTTTATGTTATATTAATATTGTGTTATGATTTCAGCTTCTTACTGTTAATATTAATGAATTTATTATGAGTTGAATCGATTTGTCACTGTAATAA